TGTCAACCCCAAGTTAATACAAATTATGCATAAATGTGCTTTGTACATGTCTGCAATTTCCATGTTTAGTTTATTTATTTATTTACTAGATTAGTTTATTTATTGCTTCAAGTGGCTAGAAATGTTCATTGTATTTAGTTTATTTATTTATTTACTAGATTAGTTTATTTATTTATTTTAGGGAAAATTTAGATCCTTTCCAATTGAATGATGACATGAAACTCTGGGAAGTTTTAGAGAAATGTCGCATCAAGGAAGAGATAGAAGCAGTAGGTGGGCTGGATATGCAAATAAAAGAGTCTGAAGCATCATTTTCTGTTGGCCAACGGCAACTTCTTTGCCTTGCACGAGCACTTTTGAAGTCTTCCAAGGTTGGCTGCATAAAGTATAATCAAAAGTAGTTTGAATTTTTGAAACACATGCTATTACTATGTTTCTATGATTATAATCATATTAGTGTTAATTTTCTGCATCATGTCAACCAGGAACTTAGTAACCAATGTTTGGAAGATGAAACATACCAGTCAATTAACATGATTGGATAAATGTTTTATGATATTTCAGGTGATGTTCTTAGATGAATGCACAGCTAATATTGATATACGAACAGCTTCATTACTACAAAATGTCATATTTACTGCATGCCAAGGAATGACTGTAATCACCATAGCTCATCGGATTTCAACTGTCCTGAGCATGGATGATATATTTGTTCTTGAGAAAGGAACTCTGGTATGTTCACCTTCACCCTAGACATCTTATAAATCATACACAGTTCATCATTTAATCATTTTCCTATTTTTACCATACACTAAGTGGCAGTTAGGTACGCACAATTTATAAATTTATGGCAGCCCTTATGATCCTTTAGTGTAGTAATGTAGCTCATAGGCATCTGTCATTCTCAATGTTTTTTTTAATCCTTTTTAACTACTGTGTGGAAGTTGCAGAAGTTTCTTCGTTGACATTTTTCTTGATTCTAATTATATTAAAATTTGATCCAAGGTTGAACAAGGAAATCCACAGATTCTGCTTCAAGATGACCACTCAAAATTTGCAGCCTTCACTAGAGCTTCATTAATGTAAGATCATCCGGTGATGGATCCACTCAAAATTTGTTGCCTGTAGATTTGTGACTGTCAAGCTAACCAGAAGCTGCTCATACTCTTTGCCGAAGTACTTGAGCGGTCTGCACTAGATATGTATATTCAGTCCTGTGTTGGGGTTAAGATATATTGAAGTCATAAATATCTGATCAAGTTCTGGGAAGGACTTTGTGATAGATAGGAGAGATTCCGAGTTTTTTTTTTTCACTGCTAAGTGCTAATTACAATCCTTTCTTGTTTATTGTACCTTGATTATTTCTTTTCAATGATAAAGGAATAATTTTATGAAACCGTTTCATAAAAATTACTGGCACAAATAATGAATTCAACCGACCTGTGATGCTATAAAGTTATAAACTATTGATCGTTTACCTAAACGCCGGATTTATAAAATTATTTTGACTTTTATTAGCAAGTGTTGTGCCCATGGTTATTAAAATAATTTGACTTCAAATCATTCCAGCCTCAATGGCTCATATTCTCTATTAATAACAAAAGATACAACTACCTTCAAATTTATTTAGAAAATAAAAACTTCATTTGAATAACAACATATGACATCACCCTAAACTATTGAGTTCCATTTAAATAAAAAAAGAACTCCTATTTCAAAAATCAGTGTGTTTTCTGTGTGACTGATTATATTGTGTGACTGGTTGACACACACCAAAAGTTGAACTGGATAACACTTAACCGATCGAGTAACCCATGACCAATTGACTACTGACCGATTAACCTATAACCAACCGATTATACGATGACTTAGTAACCCCGGCCACACAGTCACAAATTAAACTTTGTGTTTAAAAATTGACTAATAACTGCAGAAAAACAAAAGGCGCGAAGCTTGTGAGAGGGGAAAAAAAGATTCGTTGTAAGTTGTAGAATTCTCTCCAGCTTCCCAGTTATCAACAGTGGCCCACCACTCATCTTTAACGCCGCCGCATCCGCCACCTCTTTTTCCCGGTTATTGTATCTTAATACTAAATCATCAGACACAAAATTCCCAGAATTATGAGCGAAGGAGGACCATCTCTCTTCCAAGACATCGGTAAAAGAGCCAAAGGTACCCCCCCCCCTTCTTTTGCCTTTTTCAATTAAATTTCTGTTTCATTTGATTTTTATTTTGCTTTTCTGGGGTTTCTAAATTGTAATTTCTGCAGATATTCTGTACAAGGATTACTGCTATGATGGAAAATTCAGTGTCACAACTCAGACTCAGGATGGACTAGTATTATCCCTTCTTTTTCTCTCTAATTTTTATGTCTTGTTTGTCAATTGCAATGTTAATGGGTTATTTTTGGTTTTGTTTGTCAAAGTCAATGCCATTTCTTGAAGCTTAAATTGCAATTTTAATCAGAGACGACTTTTCTTAGAAACATTGACTTGAATTTGTGGAAAAATTTCAGTCTTTGAACCCTTTCAGTTTCATTATGAATCAATTTTGGTAAATTTGGAGCTTTCTAGTTTCCATAAACAATTGCAAAAGAATTTAACCAAAAAGCATGCCGCATTCCCTTTGACAGAATACTTGGTTTTAACCCTAAACCCTTGTCTGCCATGAACTGTGAACTTGCTTCATCAGTTTCCATTTACTTCATCTTTCGTGTGCCACATTCTTGAATGCACAGTAAAGAACTTTGATTTGGTGGGAAATCATTGCTCTGAAATTTTTTGATAGTAAGTAGCTGATTCAAATACAAATGTTTGGTTTGGTAATAGATGCTTTAGATTTTGCATCATTCTTTGTGATCATTGGATATTTACATGACTGGCTTTGCATAATTAATTTAAGATGTGCAATATATCTGTGGTCTGGCTGTGTACGAGCCTCAGATAATCAAGAAGTTTGGAAAATTCCGCCTTATATTTTTCCCTTTGTACTGGTTTCTTATATCTGAAGAATTTGACAGCTTCGTGTGCCTCTTAATTAACATCTTGGTATAGTTTGTATCTTTGATTTGTGTATTTCTTTCAACGTGTTTGAGATACTGTTTGACAACTCTGAATTCTGAAATGAGTTCTTCTTTGTCTAAAGGCCCTTACTTCAAGTACTCTACAAAAGGAAGGTCACTCAGTTGGTGATCTGGCTGCACAATTCAAATACCAGAATGCGATCATTGATGTCAAAGTTGATACACAGTCAAATGTAGGTTTTTTTTTTTTTTTCATCTCAAAATAGCTGTGTTTTTAAGAATACTTTTTAACCTATGGTTTTATTCTTTTCTTACAGATTGCTACAACTCTTACGTTGAATGATATTATGCCATCTCTCAAGTCTATAGCTTCAGTTAAGCTACCTGACTACAACTCTGCAAAGGTACATCTGCCATAATCTGCTTAATCACGTCATTTCATCATATAGATTTTTGCAACGCATACAAGGAACTCGAGAAATTTTCATGTTTAAATCATATGTCATTGTCTGTCATTAGAAGGATATAGTCAATTAATCATTCATTCTTGGTGAATGCCTTCTAAAAATGTGGGGATGAGTATATCACTATATCCACATCAAGCAAATAATATCAATCTGAATTATAGCGAGTAAGAATCGCCTTGTAATTCATCTCATTCTAGGGCTTATGCCTAATTGCCTAGGGGAAGATGAATTTTGATGCTGGAGAAACTTGATTACGAATGAAAAACTTCACGGTTGGAGGCATGAGAGATCTATCTGAAGTTAATTGTCACTTTGTCAGCTTTAATCCATCAGTGGCCTACTGGCCTGAACGGAAGCCAAATCCTTGCACCCTTGAGTTTCTTTTCTTTGCTGTTGCATTGATTATCTAGAAAGAAAGTTCAGTGGAGTTCTTATGATATTATTCTCTGAAGGGACTTGAAGAGTCGAAGGAACTATGTTGCAGAATGATGAGAATGAGACTCTTGTTAGTATTGTATGGTAACTCAATTTTTAATGGATTTAAATGAGTTAAAGATAGATCCAAATTCTGACGTGCTTGTAAAGCTGACTTATCAACTTGTTTGACGCTTTGATCTCGAGGACTTACTGACATGCAGGCTCTTAAAGGTGTGCTACTTATACAATCGAATTAGCTATGTTAAACATGGTAAAGTAAGGGAAAATAACATTAATGTTTCAAGTGAGATTTTTAATATTTTGTAATCTATTGCAAACGCATGTTTGCTCCCATCCAGTCATCTGTTTGAAATGGTCATTCTTACCGAAGAACTATCATATTTTTTCATCAGTTGTTGAACTAAGAAATTGTTCATCAGCTTCATCTTTTCAGAAAATTCAAGCAAAAGTATAAGCTATGTATATTTTGGCATTTTAAGCCTTTTGTTATAAATAGCTTCCAACTTAATATCACTGCAAAGTTGGATCCTATTCGGCAAAAGAAAGCTGCAATATTAGTCTACTTTAAGACATTAGTCTTTACATGCTTCTCTTAAGTTTTTGCTCAATACAGCTGAATTACTTGTGGTATATTGTTCTCATGGCAGCTTGAGCTTCAGTACTTCCATAAACTTGCAGCACTTAGTTCAGTTGTTTCCTTCAACAAGTCCCCTGTTTTTGGTTTTTCAGCCACCTGTGGCACTTCAAGCACTGTGCTTGGTGCAGAGGCAGGTTATGATTCTTCTATTTCTGATTTTACGAAGTACGATGTTGGCATAAGCATGACAAAACCAGGTTCCTGTACATCTGTTATCTTGTAAGTCTCTTTCCTTGCATCTGTTATATTGCAGGTGTTGTTGCTGCTTAATGTACAATTTGCAGGTGATATAGCTGTTAAATGTTTCTGAACGTAATATAAATGACAGTTTTTGAAAATAAGACTATTGGACAAAATAAGAGAAGACGAACAAGATATATTTTTCTCAACAGGCTCTTAATCGAAATTATATATCACCGTGCTAATTTCTGTAAATATTTTTTTTTGGGTTGGGGGGGGGGGGGGGGGGTTCATCATGCAGTATCCAAATAAAGATAGATTTGTACATTTTTTTCGTCTATTTTTCCTGATCTTGCCATGTATTTCAGGGCTGAAAAGGGTGACCTAGTTAGGGCATCATATGTACGGTACCTTGATCAAGGGAAAACCACTACAGCAGTTGAGTTTAAAAACAGGTTTTCTGAAGAAGGAAATACTTTAACTGTTGGAGGATCATATGCTGTTGATGAATTGACTCTAATCAAGCTGAAGCTTAATAACCAGGGGAGTTTCGGAGCACTTCTGCAACACGAGTTCAAGCCTAAGTCAGTACTGACAATGGCAGCTGAGTTTGATTACAATTGTGTTGACACAAATCCCAAACTTGGCATATTACTTGCACTGAAACCATAAGTAGCATCCAATCATAAGTTTGATGGAATGTATGTATTTTTTGTACGCCATAGTACGCTACAGAATCTCCATTAATTGTATTCTTTTTGTATTGCTTCAAACTCTCTTGTTTCAAATCATATGTTGAATTGTGTTCTCTCATGCTTGCTGTCATTCTACCCTTAAATCTCTTGGTTTGAATATGGTGCACCATTTCGAAAGAAGATCTTTGATATCAGCATTCATTCTTGTTCCTTTACCTCCCCAAACTAGCATGTGAGCAAGATCTCCCATTGACGAGCCATCAACTTCATGCACGACCTTGAATCCCATTCTACTATAAAACCTTACCAGCTGCACAAGGATACAAATAATACTCGTTAATTTGCTGAATTTATTGTCAAAAATATAAGATGGTCACTTTTATTGAGTTCTTACATTATAGTATGGGTTATTGAATGGAATAAATGAATTCATACACAATACTCCTTAGATCCTTTAGACGAATTCAAAGAAAGAGAAGACATACATGAAAGAACAAAAGTTGAGCATAAAGAAAGGAGAAAGAAAAACCTTCGAATGGTAAAGATCAGTGTCATTGATAGCCAGCAACTGAGCAGTGGTGCAACCGGAATCGAAACCAAGCCTAACAGCAAGAGCACCAAGGAACAATCCAACACCAAAAATAGATTTTTGCATACTCAAAGTCTCCCTATTCAATCTGATGGAATCCAAGTGCAGAATTTTGCCATCAAACCAGACCCTTATCAGTCCTTCAGCTCTTCCTAGCTCTTTATTTGTCTCCAAGCTTTTTGCTGTAATTCTGAAAAAGGGTCCCACTTTTTGCAGCTTTAAATCCAGATTTCTGCCTTTTGAAGTTTCAATTATTTCTTGCATTGTTGGGAATTTAGTGCCACTTACTGATGATGTTGTTGATGCTCTAATCATGCTCATACTTAAACTCATACAATGATTACTTTGATTTGGGATTAAAGTTTTGATTTTTGGGTTGATGGATAAATTCAGCACCTATCTAGCAATATTGATGAATCATATGCTTTTTTTTTTTTTTTTTTTTTTTAAATGGGAGTTGGGATAGATAAGTATTGGAGGATGTATTGCCACGTGGAAGAATATGGTCCTTTAATTACTGGTAGGTCTTCAAGTGACTGTTTGACAAAATTCTGAGTACATATATGTTTCACTTGTATATACTACGTATTTTAAATTCTTAACATAAACAATTTTGAGCTGCTGCATGAGTTAGCTGCTGCCTGAATCAGAATTTTGGATACAAACAAAATCGAAGTATATTCAGTTGATGCAACAAATTCAACAAGAGCAGCTAGCTTACATGTAAGAAACAAATAGCAAACATTCCAACTCTGCAAAAGGCAGTGGACTGAAGAAAATTAATAATACTTCGCCAACATGTGCGTCCAGGTTCCTGTGTGTCCAGTAACATAAACATCAGGGATATGGCATACTTTAGGCCAGTCTTCTCCATCTGGTTTTTGGCATCTTTTCACCAGCTCTTCACTAGCGTAAATAATTTTAAGTGTAGTTAAGGAGGTGAGGTGGCGCATTGCTTCAGGCAATGATTTCAGTCCACTGCAGTAAGAGATGTGCAGAAACTTTAGTGGTGTTAGAGATTTGAGGCATTCTGGAAGGGCTTTCAAATTGTGACACCCTTCAATTTGGAGGGATCGGAGAGTCGTAATGTGGCCAATGCATTCCCCAAGGACCTCCAAGTTGCAACACCATTCAATTTGGAGGGATTCAAGGGATGACAAGTGAATAAATCTCCATGGCAGAGTTTCCAACTTTAAAAGCCCAACTAAACTCAAGGAAGAGAGGTTTTCAAGTGTAATATGTCGCGCCCCCCAACAATCCAGATATTCCAAATCCAGGTTCTCACAATACTCAATTGTGAGGGATTTTAGGTACAAGAGATGTTCTATCCCACTTCCTGACAAAGTCGTCAACTCTTTGCACGAATTCAAAGTTAAGTGTCGAATTGAAGATTCACATTTTTCAAAACCCTTGGAGACTGTCCCCATACTTTCCACTCGGACAAAATGATCAATCTGAACATGAACAGCGCCTCCCACAAAATCCTCAAATAGAATATTAAAAACCCTTGGATTATCAATGTTGAGATACTCTAAACATAAACTAGGATTGTGGGAGGACGATGACAAAGATGAGGCAGTACTTGTGCTTGTGACGGGACTTGGATTATGTAAGCCTTCCTTCATACAAAAATTCAGTGCATCATTGACGGAATATAAATCAAGCTCTTTCAAATGTGGACATGGAGGAAAGTATGTCATGCTCTTGCAATGCCCAACAATCAATTCACGGAGACGAGGAAATGATGGGAGAATCACATCAGTGCCAGTATCATTGACCAAACAACCACCACCTGCTTCCATCTCCATCCAACTTAAACCCCTCCACCATCCCTTTAACAGCGGCATCTTGAAAAGAGTCAAGCAAAACCTACAACATAGTAATACTAATGATGGGATAATCATTATTTCACAATTCAATTCCATAGTAATACTAATAAATCATTCAGTACCAAAACCTACAACATACATGATACATTGACACACACAACATAGCAACAAAGATTCTGCTAGACGCCTATACTAATTCTGCTCAGTATGCTCACCCTGTGAATAGAGTCTTGTGCTTTGGTGAGATTAAAAAAAAAAAAAAAAGATTACACATTACACTGAATTCAAAGCGAATATGATCTTTAGAAAATGATATTTCTAGCAACTCAGATTCCAGACTTACAATCAAAGATCAGAATTTGGACATTCACACGACATATAGATCAAAAGGTGGAGGGCTGAAGAAAGGCTTAATTAATCATATTTCACCAAACATGTCGTAAATGAAAGCTCTTCTTGTCCATCCAATAACATAAACATGAGGGATATGGCGTATTTTGGGCCAATCCTCCCCATCTGGCTGTCGACATCTCTTCTCGAGGTCATCTCTAGCGTATAGTATTTTAAGTGTTTTTAAGGAGGTGAGGTGCCGCATTGCTTCTGGCAACAATTTCAGTTCATGGCAATGGCTGATGTGCAGCAATTTCAGGGATTTTAGAGAGTCCATGCATTCCGGAAGGACCTTCAAATTGTAACAATTTTTAATTTGGAGGGAACGAAGCGAACGTAGAGAGCCGATGCAATCCCCTAGGGCCTCCAAGTTTCCACAACGTTCAATTTGGAGGGATTGAAGGGAGGTCAAGTACTGAAATCTCCATGGCAGAGTCACCAGCTTCGGAAGTTCAGCTAGTCTCAAGGAAGAGAGGGAGTCAAGAGAAATACATGGCACTCCCCAATAATCCAGATTATCACACCATGGCATCCCTTCCAAATCCAGGTTATCACACCTCTCAATTGAGAGGGATTGCAGATTGTAGAGATGCTCTATTCCGCTTCCTGACAGAGTGGTTATTTCTGAACACGACTCTAATTTCAGGTGTCGAATTGAAGATTTACAACTTCGAAATCCCTGCCTAACAGTCCACATACTTTCCACTTGAGCAAAATCTTCTATTTGAATATGAACAACACCTAGCACAAACTCTTCAAACAGTGAATTAAAAATAGTTGGATTATCTATGTTGAGCTTCTCTAAACATAAAAAGGGATCTCTTGGACTGCATGGCACCGATGAGCTGGAGGACGATGGTGAAGTTGAGACAGTAATTGTACTCTTGATTGGACTTGGATGGAAGCCTCCCTTCATACAAAATGTCAATGCTTCATTGACGACCCAAAGTTCAAGTTTTTTCAGAAGTGGGCACGGAGGAAAGTAAGTCATACTGTTGCAATATCCAATACTCAAATCACGGAGACGGGGAAATGAAGGGAGAATTACAGCTTGTTCCTGGCCACCGCTGTCATTGATGAGACAAGCACCACCTGCTTCCATCTCTTTCCATGATAAATTTCTCCACCATCCCTTCAATTGTGGCATCTCTACTAGCACTAGCTCCTCAAGAGATGGAAAGAAAGTCAACATCGGCTTAGTGGCCTTAGACACTGAAGCTGAAGGTGCATCGCTTTCAATATGCTCTACCTTGGGCATATTCCAAAGCTAAAGAGATTTCAGATGGCAAAGTTGACTCATTGACGGGAGATGCTGCAACTCGTGTAAATTTGACAGCTTGATACTGACAAGGCATGGAAGAAAAGTTTCCATGGTTGATGCCCAAGTTGGCAATTTGATCCCTTGATATCCCTCCATTTCAAACCTGCTAAGATCATGGTTAGGATACAACCCCTCCAGCAATGTCTCATGAACTTCACTTTGGACAGACCAATCTGAGGACATTATTTGTAATGCCTCAAGATGTGCATTCTTCAATATATAGGCTCCTTCCGTAACAACTGGCATGTTTTTGCCAGAAAATTCTCGCACTTCAATGCAGAGGTCGCCTTTGAGGTTCACTAGATCTTTCAAGTCTATGATCTCCCCCTTTTTAACAAGGTTAGAATCATCCCCACGCACAACAAACTTTGTCAGCGTGTGAAGACATTTCAAATTATCCATCCCTGCTGGCATATGAGTCAATCTGTAGCATCCGTCTAAATTCAGCAACCTAAGATTTACTAGTTTGCTCACGTCCTCTGGTAACTGTTTTAACTTCTTACAGTTGCATAATTTCAATATTTGTAAATTCTGAAGCTTGGTAATTGAAGTAGGAAGCATCTCCATTGTTTCGTTGCCAGAAACATCAAGATACCTTAAATGTAAGAGCTTACCTAGTTTTGGTAAGGTTTCAATGGCTAAATCATGCAAGTCCAATACCCTTAATCGTCTACAACTTGAGATTATTGCAGCCACATTCCCAGATGTTTTCAGAGGACTGTACAATTGGAATAAGGTACGCACTGTAACATTCGAGCAATAACTTGGACTAACCCAGTTATTGAGATATGCATAACTTGTAGTAGATAGATGACGAATAGTCTTTCCAAAATGGATCATACTAGATGTCAACATCAAAGACTCCGCTCCTGCAACCTCTAAAGCAAGGTCATGTAAGAGATCATGCATTTTAAATGACTTAACTTCACCACATTCATCTTGTTCATTGTCATAAAAAAAACATCTATGCAAAAGAATTGAAACATATTCTTCACCTACATCTTCCATGCTTTGACCTTCATGACTTGGAAAAAGATAACCTTGTGCTAACCACAGATTAATTAGCACATCTTTTTCTATGGCATAATCCTTGGGGGAAAGTGAGCAAAAGCCAAAACAACTCTTTAACTCATTAGTAAGTTGATGATAGCTAAACATCAATGTTGTCATTACTTTATTCTCATCACATTGTCTGGAATGTCTCATTTTTGCCAAATCAGTACCTTTCACAAATAGCCAATTCTTCTTATCTTGGCCTTACAACAAACTACCTATCACCCGTATGGAGAGAGGAACATTAGCACATTTTTTTGTAATTTCTTTGCCTATAACAGCAAGATCGTCGTCTTCTTGCTCTTTCCCTTGCTTGAATGCCATCATCCGGAACAAATCCCAAGATTTCTCTTCTGATAGACCTTGTAACTCATGAATAGGATGGTCACCAACAACATTTGCAACCTCCATAGAGCGACTAGTTATCAATACTCTACTCCCCTTATCACCTAAACTCAAGAGCTCCCTCAACTCTGCCCATTTTTGCCGGTCATGACTACATACATCATCTAGAACAAGCAAGTACCTTCTCCCTTCTATCTGATTTCGAACTTTTTTCTGCATCACTTCTAAATTATCATTCTTTACCAACAGCTTACCAAGGATTTCTTTTATGCCAAATCCGTCTGACACACAAACCCACTTCATCCAGTCTCCAAATGCCCCTTTAATCCTATTATCATTAAAGACAAGTTTGGCAAGAGCAGTTTTTCCCAACCCTCCAATCCCCACAATAGTCATAAAAGAAACATTTTCCTGATTAATATCAGCAGAAAAATTGGAGTCTGACAACAACATACCTACAATAGCTTCCTTGTCTGGCTCTCTCCCAATAATACTCATTTCAAACACACAAGGGCATTTTTCCTCTTCTCTGTTGATAGGTTTATACACATCACTACACCCAGATTGACTACAATCTAATATTCCCTAAGGTTCTTAATCTCTTGAGATGTATTAAATGCAGAGACTAGTTGGTTCTCAGGGGAGAAGAAACGGCGTACCTTTTTGAAGATTTTACCACCGGGCAATCTTTTGAGTTGCTGAGCAATGGTGGTGAATTCATCGAGCAAATCGTCAGCATCATAGACAGCATCCTTGAGCTTATTAACCCAATTTAGGCCTTCTTCATAGGTGAGCTCCTGATGCCTAGACTCCGCATCAAGGAAGAAGGCCTTGATGGAGGTGACGGTGCACTGAAGCTCGTGAAGTTGGGATTCATACCCAAAACTGGAGCATAGCTCTCTTAGTTCCTTGTTTTGTAGTGCTGCAAACAGAGTATTAGCAACACTGAGGACCATTCCAGTGGCCATCTGTAGCTGATTTCTTTGGTATTAGGGTTAAACAGTGAAAGGAATAATCACTGGTATAGATTATTACAATTCTCTTGGGTTGGGGTGGGGGGGGGGGGGGGGGGGGGAGGACACATAATAAAAGTATTTTTGATCCAGTATTATGAGTTAAAATTTTGTAAACTGTAAGAAATGAAATCTTAAAAAAAAAAAAAGTAATATGAACCAAGTAATTGTTAGCACGTTGATTGAACTGGTCAACTGTCTGAAAATGTAAATTTTTAATCAAGTTTGGTACCTTGATGGATGAAATTTTGACTTATGGCACATGCTTCAGATCAAACATGTCACTTTTGCAGATAATTTGGCACATACATTGGAATTGCATATGCTTTTATAAAAATAAAAAATGACAAATCAATTAAAAAAAAAAAACTGCTATGAATACTACAGTATTCTTTTATAGTGTCTATACACTTTCTCCATTTTTTTTAAATCTATTGTAACATGAGAGTTTCACATTTATCAATGCACAACTTTGATCATTAATGCCTTTAGCTTTTCTTTTTCATTTTTTGAAAATTACAATAATTTGATTTTTTGAAAGGATTACAGTTAAGACAAACCTAACAAAACCACACAATTATTATTTTCAAAATCAAAATTGAAGTTTCAATCAAATGCATTCACCAATACATTTACTGGATACTAAAGTCTACAGCAGTGATTGATCTCTAATTGATTTCGGGCTTATAAAAATGTTGAACCAGAAATTTATACAAGATGTATATTGGGCACTGTTTATTTAGATGCAAATTGAACAGATTCACAGTTATAATTTACACGAGAAAATGACATTGATTAACATCTAACAAACAGTTATTATTCTTTCCATACCTTGTACCTATAACCTATGTATCATGCTCTACATACTAGAGTACAGTAACAGACAGATCACAGAACACTAAGTATTTTGATTCTTCTTTGTAAAAAATGAATCAATAGCATGATATTTGCCTTGTTCTGGCAGTGACCTGCGCCTTTTCTTACTACTGTGGCTCACAATCTGATCTTTTTGAAAACACCTGACAAAAATTAGAATAACTTGATAAATATTTATACACAATTTACATGCTTATGACTGTTATGAATTTCTACAAATGAGTTCAATCAGCAGTATGGGACAAAAGCTAAAAACAACCAGAGATGATGGATATGCCAATATGCAAAGTGTTTACATATACATGAAGAGTTCTTATACTATTTGTTTTATTGCACCATTGCCTTTTGCACAAAGTGACTACACCTAGTAAAAATTTATTGTGTCTACAGTCTTTTCAGAAGGGAAGGTCAATCTAATCACAGAGTATTTATCTATAAATAATTATAACAAACTGAAAAGGCAGGAAGCGGTGTGTTTACCTCTGTTTAGAGCAGTAATTAATTGAGCTGCTAGCAGAGCACTCTTCCTGCAACCGCTCAGCAAGATGAAAATCGAAATGTTCTTGTCTTTCAACAGCAAATTCGAGAGGCATTTCTATTCCACATATAGAACACTTGTAATCATCAACCCATCGAAACTGATCTTGCAAACTTGAGGAAGGGCCAGAATTGTCATTTCTAGTAAACCCTGTCACTTCGTTGGGATTTTTGCTACTGCAACATAATTTTTTTTCCAATAATTGCACGGGAATAGGTTCATGAGCTTCAACCCCGGCACTTTCCTTGAGATACAGCAAAGGCAAGAAACAATCAAACAACCTAAGAAAATGAGAATAGGCGCCTTTTTTTTACACAAATGCTAACACTTGGGGGTTTCTAACAATAAAATTAAGGATATAAACAGAGGAGATAAACATGAAAAAACGTACTTCTACCTGAACATCAATTTGTTCCAAATCAGAAGTATTATTGTTCACACTGCAGCAGTTATAACTGAAATCTGAGAATTGATCACTGTTGAAGACATCTTTACGGACATATGCACTGTGGTCACAAGCAACAATGTCATCTCCAGTCTCATTTGGAAAACAATTATCCTCTGCCTTCAGCCGTGAAACATTACCATTAAGGATATTAGTTCTGGAAGCATCTCCTACTATGACAAAGTTGGTAATGGATTTCTGCAAAGGATCAGACGGACCACCTTTATCTTCACTAAACTGAGAAACTCGAAGGCCTATCAAAAACAACAGACAGTCAGACACACAAAGCCATCATATATTAACAACTTATAATTACTGATATATGCAAAACATCACATATAAACATGATTGGAACATACTAAGCATGTGTCAGGGCGTTAAAAAGCTTCACGTCTTTCAAGTATAAAAGATAGAAATCATATACTTAAAGTTACTCTAATCAAAACCGAACCAAGCCAAATTGCCAAGAACTGATGGAATTATAAGGGGTTACTAAACCTATTAAAATAATAAAATTTATTCAATGCAGAAGAATCAGATAGCAATAGTATTTTATGACTCAGGAACAATACTTACAAAAGAATGAGAAGTAGACGGCCTCGAACGATTTCTTAAAGTCTAAAACAACCATAGCTATCATAAAAAATCAGGGTGGACAGATAAATTGGCATAACAACAAATTATAAACTCCCTTCGTTTTCCTAAGTTCTACTCACTTCCTATTTTCATCCGTTTTCTAAGTTTAACTCATTTTTACTTTATTCCATTTATATAAACTTTTATTTGTATTTTATCATCTTTCATCACACGTTTTTGTGACCCAATTACATTTAATGATTATATTACTCTCTATTTCTCTCTTCCTAAAAGCAAAGATACCCACATGATTGGTCCCCCTTTTGAGTTCTCCTTAGTTTTTGTTGCTACAAACCAAGTATCACTCAAGAAAACGGAGAGAGTATAAGATACTTCCTCCATTTATGTTTAGAAACAAACACTTGATGACTTTCACTTGTAATTTCAAAAGATAAAAAAAAAAAAAAAAAAAAATTACATAAAATTTTTGAAAATATAAATTGAAACAAATCTAATATGATCTCACATGACTACTAAAGGTGAATTGTGCAAATATCAAAGTGTTGCATCTAATATTGAATGGGGGAAGAAGCAAATTAAACTGCATTACTACCTATAAGTCTTAGTGATGCAGGAAGTTCCGCTTTCAACAATTTCTTTGCATGCAACAGTATATCCTCACTTGAACATATACATTTTGGCAATGTCACAGCTCTAGTTCGAACCTGAAATATCCAGAGCTAAGTCAAGAGCTTGAAGTTAAATCACGAGATCCAAAGATTAACTAATATTAATTAAACTAAAACAAAAGGCACAACTGCATTTGTCACATGGTCAATCGGTCACACCAAAATATTCCAAATATAACAATATTAACTATGATAACAGAAAGCTGATGTAGAACTTAAAAAACTTTCCAAGTATATATGTGCCACTTTCTAAACCTTATCCTGTGCACACAAGCATCTATATTACACTAATGCAAGTCTGGAGTTTGGAATGAATCAAGGATAAAGTATGCAGACATCATAGATCACCTCAAAAGATGCAGTTTTCAGTTTAAGGGTCAGAGTACGACCATGAAGTCCTTCCTTTTGCAAATCAGTTGAAAGTATATGAGAAAGTTCAGCTGCAACAAAAAAACAAGGAAAGAGAAGTTGTCAAAGTAAAATATTAATCTCTAAAGCCGACCCTCAACTGTTTATGATATATTTATGCAAATAGCAAGAAGTAAAAAGGTAATCATGTATAATAATATGCGACTATTTTTATATGCTGGAGGTAAAAAAACGTAAGTTCAAATGCTTTAACACAACTTGCAAAGTTGCAATATAGGAAAACAACTTCTCCATTGGAATGTACATATGTTGGTTTGTTTTACATTTTTGCATATTTCTTGTTTCTTCTGTAATTAAATTAGTACAAGGTCCATTCCATGGCAAGTTTTCACTAGCAAAACGTGATGAACTAAACAGGCTGGTCAATTTCCAGGCGCATGGATAAAGCCAATTAAGCAGCCACCAAATTTACCAGCCTCAGGATACCCACCCCTTAGCTAGTCAGCATATATTTACAATATATACTCCATCCCTACTTTTTTTGCCCCATTGCCATTATTAGCGTCAAATAACTGACCGAAAATTCCCGTCAATCTATAAGAGATATTATAGTCATATGGGATCATGTTGGATTCGTCACATTGTATAATTTATTAATATCAAGTTTTATAATCTTTATGCGTATAGAATAAAAAAATATATACATTTTAAGATGCGTTTGGAGATCGTGAAAGTTATATGGGGCAAAAAAAATAGAGACTTCTGATTTTCTGAACATCAAAATCCACTACAGCCTAGGACTCAACATCTGAACATCAATAGATTCCAGGGGAATGCTAGAGCTATAACAGATTAAGGTGAAGAAATTAAACAGTAGAGGGAAAATGTTAATTTAAGTTCATATTACCTAGCTTCTGATATAAGAAAGCTTCATCCTCGGTGGCGGAAAATGTTCTTTCATTACTCATGCTCTTCCGCAGTCTAGCTTGTGGTGTATCTGTGCTCCCTAGTCCCAATCCAACAGATAGAAAAAAATCTGCAGCAGGTTTACAATATGAACATTGTCAAGTTAATATATGTAGCCTGCGAAGCAAAATGTAAAAGGAATCATACTCTGCTTGCTATTATATTATTATCTTGCCAGAAATGATGTGAATTTTAGTACAAATATTGGTTTTGAAGTATATTTATTTATTTATTGTTATTTAATATGTACTTCGTACAAGATATAGGTGTTTTGATTTGATCAGAAACAAGAAATGACCAAGCAAAAATCAGGGTACTGATCAGCTCATAAATTCTTGGAAAATTTGTCAAAAATAACACCACCTTTGGCCGGTCTTCCAGTAATAGCACCACCTTTTGATTATTCCAGAATAACACCACCTTTCACATGTATTTGCCAAAAATGAAACAAAAAACCGGTAACCTATTTTACAGGTAACCCTGGGACACGTGTTCTAGTTTGATTGGTTAACTTGTTTATTTTTATTTTCATTTTGAAAAAACTTTAAAAAAACAAAAAAAATTAAACCCCTTCCCACATTCCCAGCCCCTCTGCCCACCGACATCCACCACCCCCACCAAGACCATCCACCTTCCCCATTTCCGTTTTCGGCCTCCTCCCTTCCCCATTCCCGATTTCAGCCCCCACCTCTCCTCCCCGTAGCAGATTCAATCCCCCCCCCCCTCCTCCCTCCTCCCTCTCTTCTAATGACCTCACATCAATAAAGAAAATATATGGGACACGTGTTCTAGTTTGATTGGTTTTGTTTCATTTTTGGCAAATACATGTGAAAGGTGTGTTATTCTGGAATAATCAAAAGGTGGTGCTATTACTGGAAGACCGGCTAAAGGCGGTGTTATTTTTGACAAATTTCCTCTCTCACTTCGTTGTGGTCCTCTTGCACTTCCTTACCAAACCATTAATTCAAATTACCTACTTTTGCCCCATAATATATCTAGATTTCAATTAACACCACTCCTCGATAGGAAATCACAATCAAACCCCCCCCCCCTCCTCCCTCTCTTCTAATGACCTCACATCAATAAAGATCTTTTGGTATTTGGTTAAATTGCTATGTGATGTACCTGGACTCCCGGAGAAAATGTAAGTGGCCAAGTCTCTGGATAACTAAGCACTATAGGTTTAATGACAACTAGTGACACTTTTGTTTAAAAACTGATGATGCCCTACTCAAATTCTGCTACATAGCTGAAATGCAAGTTGAAATGCCTTCATGTACCAGGGAAAAAAAGAAAAACACAGAAGAGAAAAAATCCCTAAAAGGACACAAGCTACTAGGCTACAATGCAACTAAATCATTAAGCAAAAGTTAAGGGCACTGCACAATTATATACTGATTCAAGTAGAAGAAAAAATACAAGGTAATCAACCTGCAGATGAAGGAGAAAACAATGCACACAGAAAACCGCCTTTGTCGAGTAAATCTTTGCATGTATCAATCTCAAAAGCAGTCCTTAGAATATGCTCAGTAACCTTGCCAATGCCTCCAATCTGTTCGTAAAGCATATAAAGCAAACAAGTGATGAACAAATGTTCATGTACACTACAAAATTCAATAGGTTTTACAATTTACATTTATTGCCTTTCATAACATTCTAAATTAAAGAAAAGATACCAAAAAAAAGTAAAAAATAAATAAATTGGGGGGCTCATATTAAGTACCTTTCTTATTGGGAGGGAAGATATGAAAGTCATGACAGCAATTCGATCATTTGGCAAAATAAATTGTCCATTTGGCTTATTTATATCTGAGCAAACCTAAAAATCATACAATAAACACAAATCCCGAGAATTTATGTCAATATCACAATACAAAACAGGCAAACATCAAAGAACAGGGCATCCAAATCTGCTATTTTCAAAGTTGGTAGGAATGCTATGCGTGACTGCATCCTTAAACACATCAATGACAATCGAATAGTGATTGAGGGAGTATCAGGTGAAATAAAAGGGCATAGTTTAAATATTTAAAAGCTCTCATATTCATATTTGATGAATCCTTAAAGAGTTACATTTTTCATCTGAAGACAGATTTATCCTACTGCTAATGATGATCTACGCTATGCAACAACATTAATGAAAACCCTTACCCATACAAGCTTTTCAGTCTGTCCAAAATGTGATAAAGCAAATTACTACTTAAAAGCCCCTCAACACTTCTAATATACACAAAAAATACAATATTTTACTCTATAAAGGGACAAATACTGTTGCCTTGAAACTTCTCATGCAAATGCTGAGTTTATTGCATATTTATACTAATCATCGATAATATCTTGTCAGTAATCCTTCTCGATGACACCATCAATCCTTCTTTTATGCACAAACATAGGGATTTTGTCAGATGCATGGACTTAAGAATGCATTACAGAAATCATGATATGGAGCAACAAAATACATGCAGTGAAATAGAAATAAATAAAACTATAAAAGCACCTTAGCCAGTAATCGATTAGGACCCACACCAGCACTACAAGTCAAACCAGTTTCTTCAAAAACACCTCTTCTGATCTCTTCAGCAACCTTGTTGAAAAAGTACATGAAAAGATGAAATGAAGACATGAAGTAATTCATAAACTTAGTGATGCACAAAGGTAAAGGATAAACAAAAGCAGCAGAATATTAAGAATATAGGACAGTTATTAATCATCAAGCATACTCACTTCATCACTTCTAACGTCTCTTTCTCTGCAGACCTCAGTTATATCAAGGTATGCTTCATCTAAACTGGCGGAAATGAAGTTAAGGTCGTATCTCTGAAATACTGAAGATTGATCATGCAGACTTGGATTAGCAAGCCATAGACAAAAAAATAAAAATAAAAAAATTTACTTGGTATCAATTGCAAAAAACATCCTTATTAGCTCCCACCTTTTCTAGTCAAAGTACTATAGTAAGTATACTTTTCAAAATCTACAGGAACAAAGATTAGCTCTGGGCACAATTTACGTGCAATAAAACCTGGCATTGCAGCACGAACACCATATCTCCGTGCCTAAAAGAAGACAAAACATCTTCAGATGAGAAAGTGAGAAGCTAGATAATCAAAATCAGATTTCCAAGTGAAAATCCTCAACCAACCACATCGACTGACAAATTTTCCATACCTCATAATTAGCAGTAGATATCATAGACATGCCGCCAACCGCCATTGGCTTGCCCTTTAGCGAAGGATTGCTCAATGTCTCAACCGCAGCATAAAAGGCATCCATATCTACATGAAGCCAAATTCTTGATAAATCACGTGTGGCTTCTAATTCTGTAATTCTTCTTTCAGCAATCTGTACATTTGCACAAACACTGAGATAATAAATCAACAAAAACAATAGCATAACTTATGGCCAAAATAGCAGGAACCAACCTTCTGATAGTGAGCTATATCAGTATTTGAGAGCTTCCCAAGCCTTTCACGCATGTTGTCAGTCCTTTGCCTCATAAGAGCCTCCTTGCGTTCCTCATTTTCAAAATACTTTGACCCTTTGCTCATTTCATATACAATTCTCTGAACTTTTTCCTTATCAACTCCATCCATACCTAAAAATAAAATATAACTTGATCAAGAAATGGCAAAATTGGCAACTTTAAAAGGCGCCACCACAATGGGCGCCATCTTCTTAGTCCTAGAATACACATATATCCATATAATAAAGAAAACTTCAAACATAAATAAGTGAATACATAATATTGATCCCAAAAACTCGATTAAAGGAACCTATAAAATCAGATATTGGCGGCCTAGAGTAACAAGATATCAGTAAATCACCTTCAAAAATAGAAACAAAGGACACTTGGGCGTGCAAGTAGAGAAAATCAGGATTCAGGAACATCAAATTAAGACATAATTCCATAACATAGTTGAACTTGTGGTCAAATTAACCAGACCCAATTCATTAAAAACCTAATTATCCAACTCCCTTTTCTCCTAAATTACGAGAAAGGGTATAGTTTAAAGTATATTCTGGTAATCAAAAACACATCATGGCAACAAAAAATAGGACTTCAAAAAATTGAAATTGAAATTGAAATTTATGTATTTCTTGCAAGTTGAGTAAATTAAAATTAATGGTGATATCAGATTGATCTAGAAATAAATTCGTATAAACTACTAGATATCAAGCAAAAAGATAAATGAAAGACTTAAAAAAGAGAAAATGAAATTAGATAACAAAAATGCAGAAAATACAGAATTTAAAAAAAAAAAAAAAGGAAAGAAAAATGACCAGCTTTGGCGTTAGTATAAACAGTGTGATAGGATTGCCATGGTTTTGAAAGTGGAACATCGCTGGAAGAAGACTCACTCTTCTCCATCTTTTCCATTCTTCACTGTAACTTGTTTGATACGAGAGTAACAAAGAAACGACTCAACTCACTGAAGAAGAAGAATAATTATTATGCAATTAGAATTGAGCGCGAGAAAGCCCATTTTTGGTGCGGACCGAAATACGCAGTATAGTATTACTCTCCAATGCCCCCATCATATTCCATCAACATTACCAACTTTTTTTGGGTAGAGAGTGTACTATAAATGGACATGGATTGGGCTGGCATGAGACCAATTAGGCATGGCACTAAAATGGTTCAGTCTCATCACAAGCCTAACACAGAATGAAAAGAGTTCCAACATGTCATGGATCGTGCATGAAGATTATTTTTAAAATTTGGCACAAACTCAGTACAACTTGGCCCGGCTAAAACAATTTGCTTGATTATGAGGCATGTTGACACGGCATGTGCCCATTTTTATGTGCATAATATACATACGCACTCGAGAGTAATACTACCTTCGTTAATTTTTAATTGCAGACTAAAAGTTAACGGAGGTAGTATTATACTTTTTGCTATCTTTATAAGGCCTTGTTCTCTTCAGACTTCATCATGAATAATAAGTCATCTCTTGAACTCTCTATAATGTTCAATAAATAAATAAATAAAGTTTGACAATTGTAATTTAAGCTCAAAAAATAAAATTTAGTTCGTAAAATTAAGTTAAGTTAAGCAAGAATACGTTAAGTTCAACATAAATTAAGTTAGTTTCCACAAAAATTATTACAATAAAAAAATTAAAAAAAAAAACCTACTTTAAAGAATAAAGAAATTAAAATAATTTAATTTTAATGAAAAATATGTTAAGTTTAGCAAAAAAAAGTTTCTATTTACAAGTTAATAATTTAGGTCCAGCAAAAATAAGTTAAGTTTGCCAAATATATATAAGTTTGTATACAATAAATACTTGAGAATAAAAGGAACCCGAGACACGAACATAATTTTTATTAGAGAGAGAAGAAGAGGATATGACAAAATATAGAATATGGAAAGCAAAACGAGCATGGTCCATGAACATGATTAGAATATCAAACACAAAATGATTTTCGAACACAAAATCAAACAATTACACACAACAAGATATTTGAAGATGGTTTGGAGAAAAATATACGGACTATAATAATTGATAAATTATTGTGAAAATCACTTGCAAAGATAGATTAGCTCAAGAGAGACACACCAGGCAGTGAACCAAAAACAGAATGTAATCACCTCTTTATGATATCTAGCTAATTATGGTCTGTATTGGTGATTTATTTCCTCTAATTGGAGATTTGTCCAATATCAATTCATTCCATTTAGACATTGGGATTATTGTTAAATCAACCATATCTTTTGTTTATCCTCCGAATATATATAATACAGTATCAAAGCCTTTTTTTTTTACTCGGTGCTTCTTCATATACTTTTAGTCTAATACTAATTAGTGTATAACTCCAAATTATTCATATACTCTATCAATATTAAATTGGTTATTCTGTTCTATTCATATTATTTGGTAAAGTCATCATATACAAGTATATATCTCCCGAGTTCTTACATTATTTTCGTTAACGTCTTTTTTTTTTTTTTTTTTTTTTTTTTTTTTTTTTTTTTTTTTTTTTTATCTATGAATATTGTCTCAAAATTGTGCAGGTTTATTTGCAGATACCTAAAATGAAGGTTGAACGAGGAAGCAATGTGGTATTGTTTCTAGCATCTTTGTTTATATTTGGAGGTACGTTCTCTCGATTTCAATGTCCAAGCACTAGGTTTTCCACTTGGGTGCACGTACAGTGCACCCGAGCATCTATACAAAAACTTTCACAAAAAATTTTTGTAGTATAGGTATTTAATGCTTGAGAAGGTTAAATCTTAGCCTTATCACCATATTCATGATTTCATGAGCGGACTTACACTACGTAATTACGTATAAAAAAAAAAGTTATTTATGCGATTCCCTTTCATTGTCAATGTATAATAATAATTTATGTTGGATATTTTGTTTGTATGTTATGACAACTAATAAAAAGAACGAAGTATCTAGAGCTAAATGAGTATTTGACTTAGTGCATATGATTATCCTACGTGGAGAATGAATTATGTTCGTAATAACTATTTTTTTTTTCGTGACATTGGTCTTTTATTTTATGCTCCTTATTCTTCACCTTAAATAAAATAATCATATTTTTGCAATCCAGATTTATATAAGTTCAAACAATAATGAAAAAAAAATGATATAAAAATATATAAATGGGCAATGTTTATCCTTAAAAACATACAGCAAGTATACATACACTATATTACTCCCCAAAATTAAAGCAAAAATAGATAAATGAAGTTCTAATATTGGGCATGTAGATGGGGATTAGGTAGCACCTAATTAAGTATTCTAAATGTGGGTTAATTAGTAGCATCTATATGCTTAAATTCTTAGGCTTAAAACACCTCTATATGGCTCTATTATGACAGTTAACCAGTCGGACCACATTTTAACCACACTGCAGAAACTAGAAATTTTTTTGGTACTCTTCTTAATGTTACCAATGTACCAAGTATTTAATATCAACTGTGAGCAATTGACCTGGTAACTAACCCAAATCTTTAAATTAAACATAGATTTAGAGTATTACATTAAGGACATTATACCTACTTGTGGATTGGTATATTGTTATTTTCTTTCATACATATACTATTTTTGCTCTATTTTAGATGATTTGTTTGACATTTTATACCATACATACATAATCAAGTTGATTTATTCTAGTCTTAAGAAAAATATGGTCATGAGTGTATAATTTTAAAATAATTTCTATAAATTTTACTTATTAATTATGAAATTAATTGTTTATGTAATGCATGGACAAGTATACTAGTGAAATAAGTTATTTAAGGAGAAACAAGTAAGTGAAGTATACATAAACAAATCCCGTTTGATCTTATGCAGACTACTAAGCTACCATTGCATAAAATTTGTCTAAACTATACTTGTATCTGAAATGGAATGAAAAATCGACAATAACCTCTCATACATTTGCAGGAATTTTGGTAGATGCAGTGTTATACGATCACACTGCAATCACTGATGTAAGCACTTTTGTACTTTTTATCTTGTATGTCCTTTCTTCTATAGTTCTATCACAAGCAACGCTAGCTAGGATATAGTTATAATGAAGTTGGACGTTCGTTCTCTTTATAATTGATTGCATGCTAGAAGATGATTAGTGCTTTGTGTACGTAGTACTCCGTATTTTATTAGGTGCAATGAATGAATTTATTTAAACAACATGAACCAATGAAAAACTATGAATTATGTATATGTATATATTTTTAATCAATCTAATAAATTTTGTTTGATTATTTCGTTCAGTGCTTGGCAGAGCCCCTAAAGCCTCAGTATAATGGAGGAATAGTTGTGAACCCCGATATAAATGATGGATTAAATGGTTGGACAACTCATGGAGGGGTGAAAATTGAGCCTAAAGTGTCAGTACAAGGAAACAACTTCATTGTGGCTCATAGTAGGAGACACCGCTATGCCAGTGTATCCCAGAAGTTCGTCTTAGACAAAGAGAAACTTTACACATTTTCTGGTTCGTCTCTTGTCAAATTCTATCCATCCACAAATCTATGATATATACGTGAATGTTAATTAGTTTAGTTGATACATGGATCGGAATATTTTATTTCCAACTAGTTAATTGTCTGATATGTTTCCTATTGTTATTTCTTTTTCCATAAAGTTTGGATACAAGTAAGTGGGAGGAAAAATACACCAGTCAGTGCAATTTTTAAGACTAATGAAGGGTTCAAGGCAGCTGGTTCAGTCATTGCTCAAGTAGGATGTTGGTCCATGCTTAAGGGTGGCATCACAGTCGAGTCTTCAGGCCCAGCTGAATTTTATTTCCAGGTAACATACATCCTTTTTCTATATTTACTGTATTTGGCAGGAAAAGTTGTCAAGTTGATGATAAAACTTTTTATTCCTCGTGTTAGAGCAATGATACATCGGTTGATATATGGGTTGATAGCATTTCACTACAACCTTTCACCAAGGAGGAATGGAGATCTCATCAAGATCAAAGCATTGAGAAGGTACTAATAATTTAACCTTAAGTGACTCGATCAGAACTAGTCCTCCATATATAAATACTCATAATGAAAGCAAATTAATTTTGTTTGATAGGTTCGAAAGGCCAATGTGAGAGTCCAAGTTGTAAACTCCAAAGGAAAGGCGGTACCCTATGCAAACATCTCAATCAAGCAAAACAAACCAAGCTTTCCTTTTGGAGCCTCTATCAACCATAACATTGTCGATAACACAGCCTACCAAAATTGGTTTACCTCCAGGTTCACAGTGACCACATTTGAGAACGAGATGAAGTGGTATTCCACAGAAAGCACTCAAGGCAAGGAAGACTACTCTCAAGCCGATTCCATGCTTGACTTGATTAGCCAGCACGGCATATCTGTTCGTGGCCACAACATCTTCTGGGATGATCCTCATTTTCAAATGGGATGGGAAAACAATCTCTCCCCGAGTGACCTCCAAGCAGCCACCGATAAGAGACTCAACTCAATAGTTTCGAGGTATGCAGGGAAGGTGATAGCATGGGATGTTAACAATGAAAACTTACATTTTAACTATTTCGAGAACAAGCTTGGGGCAAATATTAGTAATGTATTCTTCCAGAAAACGCGTCAACTAGATGGAAAAGCAACGTTGTTTATGAATGACTATAACACAATAGAGGATGAGGGCGACGCAGCCTCTTCCCCATCAAAGTATCTCGAGAAGATTGGGGAAATATCTAACTTCCTTGGGGGTAACGCTAACCTTGGTATTGGCCTTGAGGGTCATTTCGGTGTCCCAAATCTTCCTTACGTCAGATCCACTCTTGACACTCTTGCTGCTTCTAACTTCCCTATTTGGATCACTGAGCTTGATGTTAAAAGGGGACCTAACCAGGTAATTTTTATGCATCCATCGCCTAATAATACTATAATAACCAACAATTTCATCGTGTTTTAATTTTATATTTAAAAGTCTACTGTCTAAATTAGTAGTCGTTGACTTGTTGCGTAGGTATCAGACTTTGAACAAGTAATAAGGGAAGTGCATTCCCATAAAGGAGTACAAGGCATTGTGATTTGGGGACCATGGTCACCCCAAGGCCAACAATGTTACAATTTGTGTTTGGTAGACCCTAACTTCACTAATTTACCAGCAGGGGATGTTGTAGACAAGGTGTTGAAAGAATGGGGCTACCGCGACAAAGCCTTCGTTGCAACCACAGGTGCCGATG